CCAATGAGGTGGCAGTGGGGTTAGGCTGTGAAGGGGAGAGACCTAGGAGCCCCACGCTGCACGCAGAAAGCACAGCACGTGCAAAGGCCCTGCAGTAGAAATGAGCCAGGCGTCTGAGAGCTGTTTTGAGTATGAAATCAGCTAATACATTCAAAGCTTTAACACATAATGCCTGGTAAGTAGCAAAGACTCATTAAATGTTATCATTTCTCCTAAGAGAGAACTCGTCACAAGACAGTAAGTACACTGGGGTGTATTTTGGAAACAGCTCTCTTTCCTCGAGTGTTGATAGATCTTTCTGGTCACTTAACATATCCTTTAACAACTTCAACTCCTGGGGGAAGTCTTTACAATTCTGCAAACACCTGTACCACAAGGAAAGGTCACGTAGTACAGTGGTTACAGATACCGACCTCCGGGTCGTAACTTCTCGGCTTAAAACCCAGCTCCACCATTTAGTAGCTATATGAACTTTGGACAAGCCACCTAACCCTCCGAACCTCAGCTTCCCATCCTTATGATGGTAAAAATAATAGTACTAACCTAATAAGATTTTGAAGATTCAATGTGTTGAGGGTTTAAAATGCTGTCTAAGTTACTGTTAATATTATCTTAGCCCTGGCCGGTGTGGCTCAGAGGATTGACTGCCGGTCTACAAACCTAAGAGTTAGCAGTTCGATTCCCAGTCAGGGCACATACCTGGGTTGCAGGCCAGGTCCCAGTTAGGGGTGCACAAGAGGCAACCACACATTGATGTTTCTCTCCCTTTCTTTCTCCCTTCCTTCCCCTCTCTAAAAATAAGCAAAATCTTTTTTAAAAATTATATTATCTTACACAATTTTTACTCTTATACACTATTATATCTATATTTTTTTCCCTTTTGCCTTCCCTGGTTAAGAAATCCCCCCCAATTTTAAAAACATATCTTAAAATATCCCTACAAGTATCTCCAAAAGTCAAGTATAAGATATCTGAGTGCCTTGGCAACACAGACAAATAAATAGAAACCCATCTGGCCCTAAATATGAGCTATATAACATCTTCAGACTTCACCTGATCTGCTTTTCATCTGGCTCTTTGTAAAGTCATTTGGGAATGGCCTTAGGGGAGTAGGGGGTGGGATGAGGCTGAAATCGCAGCCTGGTCTTTCTGATGGATTCTGTGTCCTAAAATATCAAGTCAGCATTTCTCCTCAGTGTAGGGTGAGATCTCACTTGCTCAGATTATGCTGTAAAATCAACAGTGTAACATCAACCCTATCTCAGCGAGGGGTCATCTGTTCGTATGGAACCTGCCCCATGAGTATACATGTGGAAGCACAGTCGGGACAGCGACTGGATCCATTTCAACACTGACCAGGTGAATAACTTTATATGGATGTTTTTATAGACACTGGAAGACATTTCTTTTATACCGTGGCAATAAAAGCTTTGTAATTACTGACGCCTTATTTAGTATTGTTTCTAGTTCTTACTACATCATTAAACAATACGATACAACCAAAATTCTACTACCACGTTTGCAGTACTAAATATAATGTAGTATGCTGGATCAGATCCTGCAACAGCAAAAAGACATTAGTGAAGAAACTAGTGAAATTCAAGTATCTCCAGGATAGCTAAAAATAATGTACTAATGTTGATTTTTTTAGTTTTCACAAATGCACTGCAGTAATATAAGATGTTCACATTAGGGGAGAGTGGGTGAGGAGTATACAGAACTCTATGTACTCTCTTTGCATCTTTTCTGTAAATACAAAATTATTTCAAAATTCCAATTTTATTTTTTTTTTTTAAAAGGTATGCTGTTCACACAAAAGAGCTGAGAAATGTTGATCTGAGTTGTACCCATAGCCCCTCACTCATATCTCCGGTCCTAAAGGGTGAAGGGAACCTATATTTACTCTGCACTCCCAAAAGGGGTGAGAGGTATCACTGGCAAGCAGGGAGGCTGGGGTGGGGGCGACAGAGTACATTCACAGCACTTGAGGACAGAATGTGCCTTCAGACGCAAGCTGTAATTATACAGAAGCCAAGGAGCATTTGCAGAAAATCACTATCTCATCTGAATATACATCCTGTTAATCAGAGAGGTCGAAGCCCTTTTGATCATCAGGCTAAATATTTTTAGGCAATATCACTGAATGCCTGGAAAGAACGTGAACGGCATCAGCCGAAGAAAAATCCATCTTCAGATAAAGAGGCAAGTTTTTTCTATCACAGGAAGAATTAGCTATACGAAATTTATAAAGAAAGGTTGGCAAAGATGTCCCCAAATTGAAGCCTTCTCCTCCCTATTAGACTTCTCGCTAGTCCTTCTCCACTCCCCCGTTCTAGATAGCCACGCTTCTACACTGACTTTGGATTCTCTTAGCATTTGACCCAAGCACAAGGGGAAGATCAGAAAGTGATATAGCATTAGTATGAAGATGAGGAGAGAGAAATAAATAGAGGTAATTACATATTCTCTCAAAGCAATGTCGAGTGGGTCACTGAATGGAAATGAAGATGATATTTAAGTTGGGGCTATTGAGTGCCCAGTCAAATCTGGTAACTTGGATAGCAAGTGAAGAACACCTTGAAAATAGCTTTATGTGCCGCCTCCTTGGCACATCACAAGCAGATATGTCTTTCTTTCCATTTTTTGTAATAGTAAATATTTGTAGCTTCTATAATGTTCAGAAAAGGCTTTTCTGTTCAGGAAGTAAATTCTATTTCTGGCACTTTCCAGTTGTCAGTATACACTCCTTCCCTGCTTTCTCAATTGGTCAAAGTGAGCTCTGGTGACTGGTTGGTTTCTTGAACGCCTAATAGCTGATAAATATAAATCACCTAGTCCTATCCTCTTAATTCACTCCAAAATCATTCCTTCTTCTAAACATGGAAATTTTTCCCTAGAGCTATAATATATAAATGGCTCTTGTAAATCAATAAAAAGATAAAGTCATTGCAAGAAAATCTATCATTACTACCAACTACTGAACTAGTTATATATATATTAAAGTTATTCATGCAAATCTGTGAAAAAGCTATATGTGTCTTATTTTCCAAATATTCCCAGGAATTCTAGGAAACAAGGATTGGATCAACCTAACAGGATTATGTGAAATTAATATCTGTGGTAAATCTTGTGAGAATGCAATGTTTGTGTCATCACACCCGAAATTCTCCCCTGTGTAGAATACTACAAGGCACATTTTTTTCCTTGGTATAAAGATCACTGATTACTGAGACACAAATGCAAACTGAAAGCAAGAATGATAAATAAACCAAGTTAGTCTGTCACAGGTGATTTCTGAATTACTCAGTGCCTGGACTCCCATTTCTAAGCAATCATTCTTTTCACTACAATTTTTTTTTAAAGTCCCTTATTAAAAGCAAGATTGATTCATGTATCCTGCCCTTCACCTAATGGAATGATGAAACTTGGACGACTTTAATAAGTTTGTTACTCCATTTGATTGAAACATACTGTGAGAAACTCATTAACAGTCACCTTTTATAGCCAGGGACTGAGCACCACTTCAGCTTTGTCTACTCCACGATCTCATTTGCCCACTTATGATGATTAGGATCCACATACACAAAGGTCTTCATTTCCCAGTGCCATCTGAAAGAGAATGCTCTCATTTCCATCGAAGCCAGGGCTGGACACAGTAATTGCCATGCCAGAGTTGATGCAATATAACGTATCTTTTACGGCTGTGAGATGTGGTCATAAAACTTCCAATTGCTGGTGTATATTGCTCTAAAATGTGGCTTTTCTCATACCATTTTATGACCTGGTCATAAATACATAATGTTGAATTATTTAAAACAATGAAACCTAAGACATTCTATTTGGTGACCATTTTCAAATCATGTAAACATTGACTTTGTGAACAGACTGTAACACTTCCAAGGCCACGAAAAATTATCACCATGCAGAAGCAGAGGATTCCTGTCACCTATGTCAAATTCCACAGACATATTCCTCTACCCATCAAGCATAAAAATTTGTAACCAAACAGTCCAAAACTACGATTCAACAAATAAAACATCAATGCAGCTCCTACTGGAGCTTCAGCAAAGGCAAACCAGACTATACAATGTTCAATGCCAGAACTTTTTTCTGTTTTTAAGCACCACCAGCCACAACTTAATGCCTCCTTTAAATTGTCTGGCTTTTGTTATTTTAAACCAAACCCTCTCCATTACTTTAATGTGGGGGTTACTTGAAAACATAATTGCTAGGAATAACCATGGTAGTACACTATTGTCAAAAATTAAACAATCTTGTTTTTCCCCACTCCAATTAGTCAGTGTATCAAATCTATAATGTATGCTGTATATACAGACCTTTGAAAGGAGAGAAAATCTTTGGAAGTATACTGAGATCCCCAAGTAGGTTCCGTCAGTTAAAAAAATGAAACACATAACAAAGGCAGCTTTTTTTCAATCTTGAAAGAACAACAGAATGGAATTTGCTATTGTTGAATCACACATACACACCCCAACACAGCATAACTACAACTCCTAACACACAAAGGTGTGGAGGACACGCACGTGCACTCACACACACAAAGCAGCTGTGGATTATTTTTATGAAACTCTAGTTTTATTAAAAATAGATGTAATTCTTTTGAACTAGTATCTGTCCATTGAAAACAGTATAAAACCTAAAAGTCACAACTGATCTACCTCTGGAAGCAGACAAATAAGCAAATGGACCATTGGTTAACCAACTACCCAGCCAAGATGAACCAACCAAGTGGTCTATTAGTTAACAGAAGAACCAGCCCTGAGAAATCAACCAAGTATATCACCCATTCACAGAGAAACAAACCAAGTGACCTCCGACGATGCCAAACACAGCTTCATCCAGTAGAGATGAAATAAAACTTCTACCTAGTCAACAGAGAAGCTCTTAATGGGCCCCAACACACACCAGGAGATCTGGAAGTGTGACCCCTGGCTTGGTCCCCACGTGGGACTGGAAATGGATCACGCAGCTCTACTTACGAAGATTATTTATGGGGGTTCTGGTATCCATGTTCTCATAATGCTGCACGTGAACCACAATGTTGAGGTCTCTCTCCATGTGGTCCGTGTTGCAGTGGCCCTGCGGCCTCATGACGTCTGCAAGGGCCCTAGAAGAAAAAAGAATTTAAATCTGTTCATTCAAGACACAATGACTGGCATCTGCTGTGCTCTGAGCACTGTGCTTGGGAGCAAAAGATAAGACCCCTTGACTGCATGGAGCTACCATTCTAGTTAGGGCTGAGGGGAAGACACAAGTAAGTCAATAAGAGCAGTGCAGTTTGAGGTGACATAAGGACTTCTTGCAGACCAGCTCACATGCTTCCCACGATAGATGTGTAATAGCAGTATTAGCTAGTTCACAGAGTTGTTGAGAGGACTAAATGATGAATATACGTAATGTGTCTGCACCCCGTAGATTTAGTCCCCCCTTATATTTAACACTAGATACCAACACTTCATGTATAGCAATGGCCCACTATTAGTAACAAATAACATTTATCGAGTACTTACCATAAGCCAGGCACTATGCTAATCATTTTACATGCCTTAATTCAACTAAGCAGCCTATAAACACCTTATGAGGATTATTACTCCTTCTTTGTAGATAAGTAAACAAAGGCTCAGAGATGTAAATTAACCTGCTCAAGGTCACACAGCCAGTAAGTCATAGCACAGGGATTTCAACAAGAGTCCATATTCACAGCTCTGTACACTGAGTGGGGGGGTCTTCCTGTAGCTATGGAGGATGTGGTGTGATCCTTACACACCCCGTGCTAGTGCCCTTCTTAATCAGCAGCTGGAGATGGAGGGAAAGCATAGAGCCTGGGGCGCCAGGAGTGTTTCAGGTGCCTTCCATGTATGTGTGATCTCCTTGACACTCACCCAAGGGTCAATATTCTTATCACTATTATTTTATAAATAAGGAAACAAGTCGAGGGGGTGTTAAAGTGACTGTATTAGTTTCCTGGGGCTGCTGTAACAAAATACCACAAAGTAAATGGCTTAAAACAGCAGAAATGTATTATCTCACAGTTCTGGAGGCTGGAAGTATAAGAACAAGATGTTGGCAGGGCCACGCTCCCCCTGAAACCTAAAGGTTTTCTTGCCTCTTCCTAGCTCCTGGTGGTTTGCTAGAAATCTTTAGTATTCACTGGCTTAAAGCTGCATCACTCCAATCTCTGCCTTCATCCTTTCAGAGCATTCTCCCTGTGCCTCTGTCTCCAAAGGGCATTTTTAAGGACACTGCTTGCATTGGGTCAGGGGCCCACCCCACTCCAGTATGACTTCATCCTGACTAACTGGATCTGGTCACATTCAGAGGACGAGAGGTGTTAGGACTTTGATGTCTTTTTCGGGGGACATGATTCAACCTACAACACTAACCTTCACAATTACATGCAAGCTTGGGAAAGAAGCTTGGTGTTTGCATGTACACGGAGCACAGATAACTGTCAAACACATATCACGCCTAAGGTCGGACCTCACCAACACACTCTTTTCTCTGCATCAATCCTCAATCATTTGTTTATTTAGATATATGAATATCCTCAGAAGATATATACAGTTGTAGTTGTACATGTGTGTGTCTTTTAAGCACTTGCAGCATTATAACATAAGCAGCCACCATAGTTTATTGACTGTAGGAATAATAGTCTCAATATCCAACAACTAGCCTGGCAGGGGAGCTAACAAATCAGAATGGATGCCAGCTTTAAACATCGTTGTTTCATTGAGATCCATCAGAATATCAGCCCTGCTTATCCATTTCCCTAATTATGGACTCCTCGATGGCCCCCAGCCCCCTGCCTCTGTACACAACACTGCAGTAAACATTCAGATACATGGCCCTCTTGGACTACGGAGAGCTTCTCCAGAATGCATACCCACAAGTGATTCTGCCTTGTTTTATGATCTATCCAGATGTTCTTAACTAACTAAAACCCTCTGAGTCCAAACCAAGGGAGACAGAGAAGGAAGATGAGCTGTTTGCAGGGAAGCCCACACATACCACCTATGAACAGAGTGCGCCCAGCCTGTCTGCTGGAACTTACCCCATCTTAGTAGAGATTCTCAAACAGTGGTCTGCCAACCAACAGCAAGAGCTTCTTAAAATGCAAATTTTCAGAGCCATCCAGACCTACTAACTCAGAAACTCCAGAGGTTGAGCTCAGTTATCTGTGTTTTCACAAGCCCTCCATGGGAGTGCCCTGCACAGTAAAGTCTGAGACTAGATTAGGGTAGAGAGGCCTGGGCTTGGGGAAATGGTCACGCATGGGGCAATGAGACAGTAGGCCAAAAACCACAGCTGATGAAAAGTGTCAGACATGAGGGAGACACAGGTCAACACAGCAAGAGTTCCAAAAGAAGTAGAGAAAAACACTGAGTCTGCTAGGAGACAAGATAATAACAATAGCTCCCATTCATTCATTCATTCATTCACTCAACAAACATTTATTGCCTCCTACGTGCCATGCACTATTCAAGGCCCTGAAGGTACAGCAATGGGCAAGATGGACAAGATCACTGCCTTCATGGTGCTTATTTTCTAGGGGAGAGGATAAAAAATACATGTGTTAAATAAATAGACAAAGGCTGCAAAAATTAAGTAAATAAAAGTGTAACATGATCAAGAGAGAGTGGTGCATGGCAGCATTATTAACAATAGTACAAAAGCAGAAACAACCCAAATCAGCTGATCAATGAATAACCAAAATGGGTTATATGGAGTGAAATATTATTCAGCCATAAAAAGAAATGTACTGATATCTGCAACATGAATGAAACTTGGAAATATTATGGTCAATGAGAGAAGCCAGACACAAAATGCCACATACTATATGAGTTCATTTATATGAAACGTCCAGAATAGGCAAACCTAGAGACAGACTGTAGATTAGTAAATTGCCAGGGGCTGGGGGAGGAGGGCTGGGGAGTGACAGTTTAATGTATGTGGAGTTTCTCTTTGGGATAATGACAATGTTCTGGAATGAGATAATTGTGATGGTGACATATGAAAAGGCACTGAATTGTACAAATTAAAATGGTTAGGATGGCAGATTTTTTTAAAATCCTCACCCATGGATATGTTTATTAATTTTAGAGAGAGGAGAAGGAAGAGGGAGAGAAACATTGATGTGAGAGAAAAAGATAGATCAATCGCCTCCTGTACATGCCTCGACCAGGGACTGAACGCACAACCTAGGTATGTGCCCTAGGACCGGGAATGGGACTGCGACCTTTTGGTGTTCAGGACAATGCTTCAACCAACTGAGCCACCTGGCCAGGGTAACATGTTGGATTTTTATAGGACTTGGGCAGTGACTGCTAGTAAGTGAAAGGTTTCTTTTTAGGGTGATGAAAATGTCCTGGATTAGGTAGTAGTGACGGTGGCTCAGCTTTGTGAATATACTAAACACCACTGAATTGTGCACTTTTAAAAAATTCCAAATAAACAGAGAAAGAGAGAGCGATGGGATGATCAGGAAAAGGCTTTTTGAGGAGGTGATGTTTGAGTTGAGTCTTGAATGGTGAGGAGGAGTTGGTCACAAAAAGGTGATGGAAAGAACATTCCAGGCAGAGAAAGCAGCAAGTACAAAGGCCCTGAGGCAGGAAAGAGTTCATATATCTGAGGAACAAACAAGAAGGTCAACAGAGCTGAAAGGTGGCAAACGAGGAGAGTGTTACAAGGTAAGGATTATTATAGCCATTTTACAGAGTGAACAACTGCCCAAGTTAACCCAGCCAATCATCAGAGGACTGGGATGCAAAGCTGAGTTTCTTTGAAATCAGAGTTCAGGCGGCTTCTCACCTCTGTGCAATAACCAGGATATAATACTGAAAGGGGCTGCAGGGTAGGAACATTTGAAACAAAGAGCAGATGCCTCCCAAACCTAATTTGCCCTTTTCATTTCTAAACAGGTTCTTCATCAAGAGCTTCAGGGCAATTCTGAACCCCTCTGAAATTGAATGGAAATTTTATGTGTGCCTTTTTCTGTCATAGCTTTCACCAGATTCTCTAAAGAGTCTCTCCAAAATTCCAAAGCACTCAGGCTTTCAAGAGGATAGCAAAGTAAGTAATCAAGACAGGTACCATGAACTTGGTCAGCACTGCCATCTGCAGATCCCCTGGGCTGCTCCTGGAGGCCGAAATTCAAGAAAATCCATCCCCAAAGCCAAGGACAGCCCTTCCAGAGCATGCAGCAGACACAAGGATTCTTAGAGACCTCCATATTCCGGACAAGGAAGCTGCAGGTGTGGTTCACTCACTCCAAGGACTGCAGAAAATGATTTTGCACAGGGAAAGGACGTATGATAAATTCTGTACGTGGTCTTCAATTATTAAAAATGAGGAAGCGATTTAATGTGTGTTGATGCTGGTGCCCTCAGTTGGAACGCCCATACTGCAGTTCGGGGCACCCCGAAAGTTTGCTACCCATCTCCCCCACCATCTGACTGTTAGCTCTGTGGGGACAGAGATTGTGTCTGTACTGTTAACTGTTCCGTGATAGCCCTCAGCACAGGGCTGTGAATACCATAGGTACTCAATAAATACCTACTGAATACAGATGAATTTATTTAGTTTTAACTAAGCTAACCATCACTAAGGAGACATATGGCTTTAAAATAGCCCGCATAACAAAACCAGAACCTGAAAAAAATACTGATAAAGCAAACCCAAGAAAACAGTAAGAGTTGGCTCTCCCCCTCTTTTCAATAGCTTCCAACAGAGTTAAAATAGGGATGGTCTATTCAGATCAAAATGAAGTCAGTCTGAAACAATCAAAACTCTCATGAGGCATAATCAAAATATGTATTTATGTGTTAGTGATAAACTTCATTCTCGAAGTATATCGTGCTTTGAGATTGTAGCTACTGATTGTATGAAGTCATCATGATGAGTGACAAATTTGAAAGTATTTATTTCACCTTCAGCTCAGCTTTAAATTTCTGTCCTTATACATGCTTTATAATGTACCTAACAATTGTTCACTGGTATGCATATATATTCTTACTAGTAAAATAAGTGTGCATATATTGGAATGCATGCTAAAAACATGTTACAAATAGGGATTTTTTTTTTTACATCCCTATTAAAATGTTTAATGAA